CGAGCGTCGCCATGCACTGGATGAGGGCAATGAGGACATGGTCCAGTTCCAAGGCCGTCGGCGTGGCCACGGCCCGGCGCTGGCTGCTGCCGCTGCTCATCGTCTGTTCGATTGCTTTCTGGTCTGATGATAGATCCTCCCTCAAACTCAATCTTAACAGCGGAAACGCCATCGTGTATTTTCTCAATTTTCACTTGGCAACATCAGATTTTTCGCGCTCCGAAACAGTGATTGGATAGCCACCATCTCAAACAGCTGCGTTCGCTGGGCGCTTTGTCGTCGGCCGTCGGCTGCTTGACGCTGGGCTCTCGAGTACGACGCGGTGACTGCGACCGCGAAGGCTCTCTGGGTGTTGGTGAGACCACGTATGAAAGCCCAAGAGCAAGACACAGCATAACATGAATGCAACGACCTATCGCCGTCACTCGTCCCGATCAACTAATAAGTTGGAGATACCAACTTAGCTAAATCGTTGGCGTCGAGAACGGGACCATCCCTAGAGGCTCGTTTCGAGAACCTTGCGTTGGATCGGCGGCGGTGACGGGATCGAGACGCCACTCCACAACGTCAAGGCGACCGACACAGTGAACGCAGAGAATTTTTTTTTGATTACGCATCAAAAAGGACGACGATGCCATCCCCGCGGAGGCAACGCATTGGGCAACGTATACTTTCGCGTTGGTCCCTCGCTGCGCTCGAGAGGATCTTTGGTGCGCAGACCGTACAAAGACGGCAACGCGGCCTCTCGCTCTTCCCACGAGCGCATGAGAAAATCGGAAAGAAATCCGCCATCGTTGACCATTCTACAGAGAGCATGTGAGAGATAGTGCATCGCAAGTGGCTCTCTTGAGAGCAATACGTACGGCGGTATCATGCCTGGCACGTCTGCCTAAGTAGCCGCTTGCACTTGCGGCTGGTGCACTTGCGGCGCGTCTTGTCCACTATCCACTTGCTCTTGCGGCGGGTGCACTTGCGACGCGTTGTCGTCGTGTCTGCGGCCTTCGTTCCTAGGCATGGCATTGGCGCAAGTCGAGAGATAGCTGGCGACGTACAAGTACTTGCCCGGGTTGAGCTTCCAGGCACAGAGCGGTGTCTGGCGTCCCTGCTTGCCGCAATTGAAGCACACGTCCTGGCTCTCCCGGTTGGTACGGCGCTTCCCGCGCCCCTTCTTGGACAGGTACACGGTACCGGGCGGCAGGTTTGATTAAATCAAACCTGCCGCCCGGTATGACGCCTCATTGACAATACTGTAGATGGATTCGGTAGCACGGCATGTTAGCGCGGTAGCACTTGGCGCGATCGTAGGATGCGGATGCACGCACAGCGGTGCGTAGTTGATGTCTGTCGCGTGGGTACCTCTTCAAGTGTTAAAATCAACACCACGATGCCACTTGACCGCGGTTTCCCTGAAACTGATATGGCGTGCAGCCTCAAACGATGCCAAGGTTCGTCCCAAGTGCCACCCTCGCTCTTCCACGCCGTGACGCTAGGCAAGCGCGGGTGCATTTGTCCGAAAGGCGTCAACCTCCCGCCGGGTAGCTACAGAGGCCCATCGGTGCCTCCGGAGCCGACGCTACCTGCCCTCACGCCGACCAAGGCGACGAAGCAACCACCGGTGCATCGAAAAAAAAGCCAGCGTCGTCCAGCGCTGCCTCAACGTCCACATCTCCACGTCCACCGGCGACCGTCCCGCCCGTTGCTGCCGTCGTTCTAGTACCCGAGCCAGCGTTACCTGTGCTGGACCCGCGACGCAACGGCAGCATCGTCGTGCGCTACAACCACTACAAGAAGGCATTTCCGATTGCTAACGGCAGCACGACCACCGCCGAGATTGACGCGCAGTACTTCCTCCTTTCCGTGTTTCCCAAGGCCGCGCTGCGCCTCAGTCGCTACGGCCCATCGGACTTTGGCTATGAAGAGAACGGCGAGAACGAGCGACCGATGCTGCGCGAAGACCCGCCCGGCGTCTACCACGATCTGCTCGATGGCGACGTCGTCTGGGTCCACGTTGAAGAAGACGCGGCCGAGCGCGCGGCCTACGAAGAGCGCCAGGACGCATATGCCAAAGCGGCAGCGACCAAGCGGGCCGAGGCGCCGCCACCGAATGGACTTCTCAAGGAGAACACCGAGTCGTGTTCGTGCCTGGAAGGCAACCCGTGCGTCGATCGGTACTGCTGTAAAGACTGGGACCATCGACTCGAGGTTGCCAAGCGACATGGCTGGAAAGGCTTTCAGTAGCATCGACGCCAGAGGATCTCAAAAGATCTGTTGCTTCATCAATCTCAAACTACCAACGTGGACCGGTTCAAGCCGTGTGCACCACCGTATTGTCCTTCCACGTAAGCGCTCTCGTCCGTGAATTAGCCAAGTCCGAGGCGCCAAAGCCGTAGCATCCAGAACGGGCGGTGACATGACTTGTTCATCGTCCAAGATGAGGGAAAGGGTTCACACACCGATGCAGTACTAGTACAGATATCGGTGCGAACAGGATGGATGTCAATGGCTCCACTGAAATGCACGCTTCCACTGTCGAGCCGTGGCGACTTGCAATGACAAACATCCAAGCATCGGTCATGCGTAGAGTAGTCCCAAGACGGAAGACATGGCAATGGGTGAATAGGGTTAAAAGTAGAGTTAAAACAACACTCGAGCGAGACGAGAATCACACACACAAGCACGGGAACGTAAACAGAGAGTTGTGGTCACGGGACGAGCAATTTCCTTCGATTGCCGTCGATGCGGTTGATCCACTGAGTCTTCTCGTACTTGGAGTTGATGTAAAACGTATGGAGTGTGCCGTCGTGGTAGATTTGCAGCGGCCAGCGCGTCG